CCCTTTCCCCCACTATTTCCCCCCTTCTTCTCCCCCACGGTCCTCCGTTAAGTTCCTCCTAATCCTCCTATACGTGCAAACATAGGATATTTGTCCTTCTCTGCCTGACTTATTTCGCTCAGCATAACACCCTCGAGTTCCATCCATGTGGCTACACATGGCCAGATGTCATTCTTTCTCATTGCCATGTAGCATTCCATGGTATAGATAAACCACATCTTCTTGATCCATTGGTCCGTTGATGGACACTTAGGCTCTTTCCATGTTTTGGCTATTGTTGAGAGCGCTGCTATGAACATTGGGGTCCATGTGCGAGCACTTTAATTCTGAACTGAGTCCCAAGAGACCACTTAGCAGACCGATCCTTCTGATTTCAGAAAGATGTGGATGCCGAACTGGTCCAGATCCCTGTGTCTCGGGATTATGATGCTTTATGATTTATGAATACAGAGACAGGACATGAAATAGTCTTTAAATTCCCGTTGAGTCCTACCTTCCATCAAGTTAGAATTAGGCTATCAGATGGAATCCTCCAGTTTATATTGCTTGCTTTTGGACGTTCTTAACACTATTATAGGTTATTCCATTTTTCACAGGCTGTGTGATGTTTTACTCCCCAAATGGTGCAATCGTTTACAATTTCAATCACATTTGAAGTGCTCTAGGATAACTTTTCCATTAATTCATTCAGCCCATTTTTACCCAGCATTTATTATGTGCCAGACACTAAGGCTGTGGAAAAGATAGACAGGGTCCTTGCTCTCAAAAAGCTTTCATGGGAATAAGCAACACATACATATATATGATCATGTCAGGAAAGTGGTAAGAAAAATTAATGGGGTAAAGAGTGATGGCGAGGGCTACTGTTTTAGGTAAGGTCCCTAAAACGGAATTTTAAAAGAATTTTTCAGGTATGTGTCTAAAATTGATTAGGTAATTTTTACCATTATGGTTTTAGTGACTTCTTTCAGTATATCATGTTTGTCTTGTTTTGTTTCACTTTCTTTGCCTGGTTTAACGTCTTGATCCTGTTATAAAAGTAATTTTGATTCCTGCTTCTCCCACAAACCATACTGTAATGATTTTCTAGGTTTCAACCCTTTCGAACCTATCCTACTAAACGATTGTATCCTATTCTTTAGCTGTGTCCATATTGTTGGAATACTTAGATTATTTCTAATTTCTGACTATACAAATAGTATACAAATATGCTATACAAATAGCACTAGGGTGAACGAATTTATTGTTTAATAAATCTTTTTAAATGTTTGAAGTATTTCTTGGAAGATGTTCAGAAGTGGCATTTACTGATTAGGAAAAGTATTTAAAATAATAGTTTAAAATAATTTAAATTTTACACAATGAATCACTTTACGGGAAAAATATTTTCACAGCTTTGCATATCCAATATTACTGATCCATATACTATCTGTCTCTCTCTATAGACACCTAATATACTGATCTATATCCCCTGTGTCTATCCTCTGTCTATCCATTCATCACTCATCTGACTGTATCCCTCATCTGCCCTATTTCAAACAAAGTAAGCTTGCCTGTTTTATTTGAAGAGTCAAGCCTCACCTCTTTCGAAATCCCTTAAATTATTTAAAAGTTTCGGTATGTCAATCAGCATCTCTGTTTTTTGTTTGCTTTTCATCAAGGAACCATCTCTCCCAAAGTAATTCTCCTCCCTGATATTTCTAACATCGCCATGTCAAGTAAATCTGAGGTTTACAGACAATAACTCTTTTCAGTAACAGTGCTCATCGCCGAGCGGATTTGGCACTCTTTTTTTTTTTTTTTTTTTAAATTTTTTTTTAATGTTTTATTCATTTCTAGGAGAGAGAGAGAGACAGCGTGAGCAGGGGAGGGTCAGAGAGAGAGGGGAGAGGGAGTCACAGACTGAAACAGGCTCCAGGCTCTGAGCTGGCAGTCAGCACAGAGCCCGACGCGGGGCTCGAACCCACGAACCGCGAGATCATGACCTAAGCGAAAGTCGGACGCTTAACCGACTAAGCCACCCAGGCGCCCCGGATTTGGCACTCTTAACGTGAAGAGAACGGCCGAGGCTTCAGAGATCTTGCGTGAAGCTGTCGCGGAGAGCGATGACTTGTGGAATAACCACAGCTTGTTAGGGAAGGGTGCTCCCAGCCCTGGGGGAATCTCCCAAGTTCCCCCATCACAAACGGTTGCCAGGGGCTGCTCCCGCGTGGA